TAAATTCGAGACTCTTTCGCCCTGTCGTGGTAATTAATTATTCACGTGATTTTACTATCGATCCATGAGTTTGGAGCAGAGATAGTGTCTCTAATTGCGTTTTATTGTCTGTGGCGATGATCGGGCGGAAAAAGCGAGCATCGCCACAAAAAAGGGTCCCTGATAATGATGTTCAAATCCGTGTCTAACACATATAAAACTATAAAATCGACGACATTAATCATTTTATGTAAATGCCATGAGAGAAGTCGAGTGTTTGGTGGAAAATTAAAAATGTTAATTATGGCGATTTGGAAGATGCGTGTGAGCACATTGAAAAATCAGTCCGATGGGCTGTTGTTTTCCCTCCTTTTCAATTAGATAATGGCTCATTCTTTCCATTTTGCATTTCAGCGTGAGTGCACGCTCAATCTCAAGTTGCTCTGTGGCCTCTCTTTGCGCACAGAGCAACTCATTTTCGTTTGGATGTTGTTTTGAATGAAATTGCTTGTTTCCGCGTTTGATTAATGATTGTATTTAATAAGCGTAGTTCCCGTCAACAAATTAACGAATTGTGCTTTCATTCACTCGCCCGAAGACAAGAAATAATTATCAAATCATGATTCACTCGCAGCTTCTTGAAAATTGCTGCCGCGCGGAGCTTTATTGGCGTGTTTGTCTGGGCGTTCATTGAGAAAAGCTCATCAGACGTTTCAGTTGATGGATAATCAAGGTGAAAATTATGTGTTAAATTTTGCCTGGAGCAACGGAAATCTCCTGCTGGAAAATCCATTAATTGCACAGCATTAACGCGAGGAATCCCGCTAATGCAATTTTGACACATTGTGAGACCGCTCTGGAGAACTTCCTAAAAATACATCCCAAATTCCCAAGCAAGAGGCGCGCAGAGAGTTGAAAGTGGAGGAGGAAATATATTTTTCCACATTGCGCTTGGCGTGTGTTACATTTGCTGATGGTGCATGTAAATAAATAAACATTTGAGCCTTTTGCGCTTTAAATGTGACAAATGGTGCATTTATTATCCCCACATAGAGATGTGCATCACCCACAGGGGGCGACAAAGTGGATTGTCACACATTGTATTCAAAAAAGTTCGAGAGAAGCCACACAGGCCCTGACTGTCCGTCCGAGAGGATGGCGAGGTGCAAGAGAAGAGCCGGAGAATCTCGTCAGATGACTCAATTATAATCACTTCTTTACTGCCAATACACAAATTGTGGCGGATGGTTTTGAATTCCATCGGCAATGTCCAAACACACCTTCCAGATGCACGGGCGGTAAATGGAATTGATGCAAACACTCCTCATTAGCCATTCTCTCCACCCTCATCCCCAAGGAGCCCCCCAATAAAGTGGCTTGATTTGCAGATTTGCCTCCTCCGAGCGGCATAAATTGAATGCCCTCTGAGAAATCACATGGGAAATTTATGAGGTAGACTCGCATGGCAAGAGCCGGAGAGGAACAATATCACAAAAATTCCTGCATCTCCTTCTTCCCTGCGCAGATGCTGAATGTGGGGAAGAAGAACTGCCTCGAATTATGTTTGGAATTATTGTAATTTTCCACCACGGAGCACGACTTTGTCGAAGCAAATTTTTTCACGAGTTACACCACGAGAATATTCGTGACAGTCATTTTGAAAAATTATTACAACTCCCGTCATATTGCAATATTGCTGCCTCTCAAGTGCACCTTCCACTTCACCGTGAGCCAATCATTTTTCACGCTCTCCCCCCGAAATTCTCCTCGGCAAATTCTTCAGCTGATCCGAAAACGTGATGTTAGAAAATATGCGCTGAAGGGTGAGGCTCAATTAGTGTGGACTTTTCATTAAGGAATGCTAAGTGAAAAAATGCCTTGGCCTTAAGATGAAGTTGTGTGAATGGCGAAAGTTGCAGTCGAATTTGTAAAAGGATTTTCAAGAAAACAACAAATAGCAAATAAACGATAAAAGAAGCCATTTTTCTTCATTCAATCTCAATTCAATGCATCTAAATTCGTATAGAAAGTGTCCAAATTCGAGAAACTATGTTTTAAATTAGAGCTGGTTTGACCTTTATCCAGTGCGTTGAGCCATAAAATATGAGAGGAGTGGAATATATTGATCACATGGCAGCTAGGATATAACAAATCCCATTTCCAAATGTTATCGGATTAGAAATCTTCGCGCTCTCCTTTACGAGGATGAAATAGGACTGCGTTCCAACCCATTAATAATGTTTATTTTATACGTGAAATTTATCACTTTATAAATTTCTTAAAACTCCTCCGCCTCAAGCCCTTCGAGGGTGAACCGAGGGAGGGTCCTTTGTTGCTGGGCATCCATTGTTCGTCCACCCTCGAGAGTCTCTCGCTCTCGGAAGGACACCGGCGCACACAAAAAGGGCCAAGTCAATAATTCTTGGGCCGCATGAAAGGCGTTGCTCTGGAGGACCAATTCGTGGAATCGCTATTCCCTGTCCCTTTAACTTCGTCACGCACTTCAGGTGCGAGTTGTACGCATTTTTGGCGGCTCGTCATGGCAATGCTGCGCGCGCTATCAATATTTTGATCAACGCGCGAATTGCGGCGTCAATGAAAATGCACCGTACAATTTATCGTATGAATTTCTGCCATTTGCTGGCCATTCGCGAGCTTCAATGGGATAAATTGCCATCGAGCGATTGGTTTTCTGAGCCCAATAGCTCAATTCGAGTCCCAGGCCTCTTCCCTTGTGCGCTGAGAAACTGCAAATGGGAGGTGGAGAAGCAAGAGTCTTCGCGTTGTGTATATGTGTGAAAAATTTACGATCTCAGTGTAACAAGTTGTCTTGTCTCATGTTCAACTTCTCCCATGGAAAATATGAGAATTGCCTCGCGAAACATGGGCTCGAGGCCAAGATATTGGCGCGAAGGAGCGAATTTGGGGTGGAAATTATTTATTCCTCTTCTCACAAGGATTTTTCACATGTTTCCGCCCTAATAAGCTTCCTCTCAACACGATTTTTGCCATCCGTCCGTCACAGTGGTAAAGATGAAGTGTTGAGGAAATGTGGCTCAATTGCCAAAGCACTGCAGAGTTTGTCCCTGGTGACTTTACACACTTTCCATAACACAGATCTACGAATTATGCTCAGCAGAGATGATCGATGATCGAGAATCCCGGATTGTGTGCGAAGCGAAGGAACAAGACGGAGTCAATCGATCGAGTGAATTCCAATAAATAACTTGTTATATTTCTCTCTCCACCATCAATTTCACGATATAATGGCTGCAGTCGAGAAATGAAAGCATATAACACACTCAAGGTGGAATTTCCATTTTCATTCATAATCTAATAATTTGTATTTTTGAGCAAATCGCAACCATTCTGGCTGTCTCCATTTATTCACGCCCGTCCTCGCAATTGCCACGGAGAATTCTGTGGAAAATTCTTGTGGTGAATTGCCAGGTATGGAAATTCCTCACGCAGAACTCCTGCCCGGCGAAGAAGAAATGTTTGGGGTGTTGTTTTACAACACGTGTGAATATCTTAATGGACATTCCTTGCGTGCTTCCCGTATTGTTGCAGCGCGATTGAGTTGGAGGTGAAATACTCCTGAATTGACTCCAGAAATTGTGTGGATAGAAACCCACAAGGTTTCCGGACAGATTCTGGTCCAGGTGAGAGGCTGAAAAAAATTACGACTCTCTAGAGCGCGGCGGAGGGACAAAAAACGAAGACGGTGTGTTTCTGGATGGCTTGAGAATTGGTGAGAGAGCGAAACAGAGACTACATAAAAATTTATAGACATATTTTATTAATATTAAAACACGATGTCGTGTCCACAAAAATCGCCGGAGAATAGAATGAGGGAAAAATTAAAACGATTAAAGCCATAAATTATTCTTAAATGATTTGACAATATTTTATCTTTTTCTGATTTTTCTCCCTCTCCATTTTTCCACATTTTTCTCTCTGTCTCCCAATCCCGCTCGTCCTTTTTTCGTCTATTGATCTCGCAAGATGTGCGCCCAAAGGGATGACGATCGCATGATCTCTCCACAGTGAGGCTGTCTTTGATAAATAGTCTGAGAGTGATTTTTCAAATCGCACCCCGTGAAAGAGAAAAGGACTGAAAATGGTTTTCCCAATTCTTGGAAAGTCTGAGAGATTCAATTAATTTGTTCTCTTCTGATCACGATCTGACGATGGATATCTGTTGAATTAATCTTGAGTCTCTTCGACAAATTTGTGAGACATTCTCAAGCGATTCGGGCGATTTTGGCAAGAGATCACGAGGGTAATACTGCTGTCAAGTCCAATTGGCAGGAGTCGTCACCTTTTTTCCCTGCTTCTCTCCTTTCGAGACATGGCAGGAATCCCTGGAAAAATTTCAAAAATGTTCCAACCTTCCCAAATGATTTATGGGGCGTTTTTGGAGAAACACACGTTGTCTTTTTTTCCCAAACTTTCTGTGTATCTCTGGGCATTTCTTATTTTTTCTCCACACACATCGCGTGGTTTTGCTCTGAGAATTGGAGAAAAAAAAGCAGAGCAGAGAAGTGAAAAAAAATGACATTGAACCTTGTGTCCACTTTCAGCAAAAAACGACGCCCTCCATATTTTGCTGACTCCTCTGACTATTTGCTTGGACGATATATTCTTCTGGACTTTCAATTAAATCTGGAGTTTGTGTGTGGCGAGGAAAAGAGTTGAGACTCAGTCCCGGAGGAGCATAAAACGATAAAAATGGTTTTTATTGAGTGAATTTCTGTTTTGAGGTGAAAAGAAAAGGAAATATTCAACAGAGAACCTTGACTCTCTCGCCTCATTTTTTATGGCACATCCTCATGCCAATTTTATTTGTTTATGCCTCCTCACGAGTCCCTGAGTCTGTGCGCATTTCTTGGACGACGAGGAAGAGGCGCATTTATGGCCCTCAAATGAGGGGATCAAGCGAGTGTTCTGTCTTGACTGATTGCTCCCCAATAAATTGCCCAATTTATTCTCACCTTCTGCCTTTCTCTCTCTCTCGCCAGGTGAGAAGCCGTTCAAGTGTGAGCACGAGGGATGCGACAGGAGATTTGCCAATTCATCAGACCGGAAGAAGCACTCCCACGTTCACACCTCGGACAAGCCGTACAATTGCCGCGTGAACGGATGCGACAAGTCCTACACGCATCCTTCGTCCCTCAGGAAGCACATGAAGGTAAGGCATAAAGTTGTAAGCGTTGAATTGTTCTCTCGAACATCTTTATTGACGCGTTCAGTGCGATTAAGGGGAGTCCAATTGATGAGATTTGCTTAACCCTTTCACGGTCTCTGAATTTTATAATTCTGATTGAATTGTTTACGTCAACAAAGCCGTAAGCTTTATGATTGACACAAGAAGTTCTGCAATGCAGAACATTGACAAAAATTCGTTCCTAGCATTTCATTCATCTCTTCAGTCATGTCCAAACAGTAAAAGAAGCTTACAAAACGCTCGAATAAAGTATTTATTTTCTCCAAATCATTCTCAAAACAATTAAAATTACTTATTTTAATGCTTCGATCAGATTTCCGTGAAGGAATTCGTGTAAGTCACATGCCAGTGACGAACATAACGTGATTGATCTCCCAGCGATATAGAGTGATCTTGTAAAGAGCGTTTAAGAGACTGTTTAAAAATCAATCTCCTCGAGAGCCCAATAAAAGGGATCATTGTTGACTGAAGAGATAAATGTCGAGTGTGTAAAATCCATAAAAACATCCAATTTATCCACCTTCTTGTGCTCCTCTTTTCATCCCATCATGCCGTGAAGGCAAACAAATTCGTCTCGATCACGATGGCGGGACGCTGCATGGCCAAGGATCTCTCCTCCTGAAGAGCGTGGAGAATGGCGGAAACTGAGTGTAATGTGTGTTTGTCTTGCAGGTGCACGGCAGTTTGGGGGAGAAGTCACCGTCCCACGCGTATGATAGTGACGGTGAGGAGTCCAGCTCGTCCAGCGTGATCACGGGCGGCACGCAGACACCGCCGACACGACTGGCGGCGGACAAGCTGCTGACGCCGTCGTCGATCAAGTCGGAGGGCCATGGACACAATCTGGGCCATCATCCGCTGCACAGCAACAACAACAACAGCAAACCGCCGCCGCCGCCGGCGCCGTACGGGCCGCTGGCGCCCCACCAGACACCGCCCGTGTCCTCGGCGTCGTCCATGCTGGTGGGCCACCAGCACCACCTGCTGTACCACCACTCGCAGCACCCCAACGACTGGTACCACCATCATCACTCGCCCAACGCGCCCGCCGCTGACACCATGACACACCTCAACCACTTCAGCCACCACCACCTCGTGCACCACGGCGCCGCCACGGCGTACTGATCGGCCTAGCCTGGGTAGAGCCTAGCGATTCTGTCCACTAGGAGAAAGTCGGCCACCGCGTGGATTTTTTCTAGTGTCCTGAAGAGCTTGAAGACACCGATTTGTGCCTCTGCTTGACATCGCTCTGGAAGAAAGGACAAAGAATTCGTAGAAAAGTTAGCTTTTATCGACAAAGTATCAAAACAAGAAAAAAAATTTTAGGGCTTCTGTGGACAAAATGACGATTTTCGCTCGATTTTAGATGATAAACTTGAGTCACTCTCTATCTTGGAAGTAATGACGATTTAGGAAATTTGCATTAAATATCAATCACCCCTCCAAAGTTCATATGACGAGTTGAGACCCACGAGATTATGTATGATTTTCTGCCTGCCCCACGCTAGTGGTTATAGAGCATTGACAAGATATTAATTTATTGCAAGTGTGATAAAATAAAATATGTAAATAGGATGAATAGTAATTTTAATTTTATTGTATGTTGACCAGTGAGGTAATTATGGCTTCACTCCGCATGTTCGCAAACTGAAAATTCTGTCGAAAATTCAATTAATTCACCCCCAAAAACAATAGGAGAGCGTCACGAGACACAAAAGGACAAGTCATGTGAGAAAATAGGATGAATAATGGGAGTTTAACTATAAATGAAATTTATTGTAAATTGTAATGTTGTAAATAACAATTGAAAATAATTGAAGAATTAAAGTATTGTGAATGTATTATACATGAAATATATTATTATTATATAAATCCGCCTCGCAAGACTTTCTCGCGCGATCTGTTTTCCCATCAGCCCCAAAGTCCCTCCTTCGGCGCATTGGCGAACGGGAGCACGAGGAGCAGCTCTTGCACGGCTCCGCGCGGTAATTGATGGCGTTCGCTGGACTGCACACAGACGACTACCTCTCCCCATATGGGAAAATGGCAATGTGGAGCAGAGCTATTTCTCATTTTCCCAGCAGCCACGCAGCCGAATGCAACAGACTCCAATCAAAGCGATCGATTCATAATTAATAATAATTCGTTCCGTCAATGGTTCTTGGCTATTTGTGGAGAGGTTATTTTATGAATTTATGGAGCACCGCGGAATGCAACGTGGTGCACAAATCCAATTTATCTGGACGTGGAATTTATGACGCACACGAGAGAGAGAGACGCTCTGGAAAACTGGAGACACTCTGGCTTTCACGGTCTTCCTGATATTCAACTCTGTACGTGATTGATCTTTTTGCAGCTCCGCGAGAGAAACAGCTTATAATTGTAAACTTCATGCCTGTGGAAACCATCCATATGGATGACGTCCCAATAAAGTCAAATAATAATAATAACAGCTTATATTAATTAATTGGAAGTTGTCGCAACAGATGCATGACTGTTTTCAGAGACTTGACTCACTATCCGGTTCGAAGGACCAGACAATTCTCGATGAATCACAGGGGAAAATGTAAGCGAGCGGCTTATCAAGCTCATTTTCTTTAATTAGAGTCTTGATTAGAGTTTGTCGGAAAAGTAATTTTGTGTAATAGCTATTCTTTTGAATAAATTTCTGCTAGGCAATAATGATTTTCCACAATTTCATGCTCTTGCATGCTGAAAAGTAGAGCCAAGACTCATTTTTCACGTCGTCTATTTATACAGAAAGAATATTTTAGTTAATAATTCATGACGATTGTTCACTGAATATTATAAAGCTCAATGTTTACGATAGCCACTGGCTTTTCTCTATACATAAACACTGTGTGTGAAAATACAGTTCCTCATCCAATTATTTCATCTCACGCCATCGTTTTGGTGTTGATTTAAGCGGCAATGAAATTGTCTGATTATGCAATGCAATTAGAGAAATGTTCCAAAATCATCTGATTCCTATCGCATTAATTCCACATAAAGTTTAGAGAATGAATGTTTTTTCTCGTGTTTTGACCACACATTGTCGGTTTCGCATCACTCTTCAACTTTGACTCCTTCTGATCGAGTTTCACCCCACGATTTTGGGTGCGCGATCGCGAGAACTGACCGACAAGGCGATCACAGAATCGCGAGACATATTGAGAAAATTTATTATTTTCCTCTTGCACGCTTTTTATTTCCTAATTAGAAATTTATTAGTTGAACGACTCCGTCGAGAGAGCAGAAAGCCAACATCGTGTTTCACGATAATAATCTTACGCTTGTCAAAATGGATTTGTGTCGAACGAATGAGGAAAACTCGAAGGTATATGAGAGAAAAAAAAAGAGCTGCTCATGAATCATTTGCTGAGACTTTCCGCAACTCGCGCAAGAGTCGATTTTGGGCTGTAGAAGTAAATAAAAATGCGGTGATCAATAAATTGGGCCATCAATCAGGCAGGTGATCAGCGCGAGGTGTGCATAAATATTTGGGCATTGCGGCTGCTGATTGAATAATTCCTGGGAAAATCCTTTGCTGTCCAAATAAACTTGTGCCTAGGAAAAGTCAAGTGGCACCCAATAAATCAGCGCGCGGGCGAATTGCCCAAGAAAGCGCGCCAATAATTCAATCAGTGTGGAAGAATCTCGCGGGCCTCCAGAGCATCTTGCCCAATTCACACTCTGTTTACCTCCGGCCATGAGGGCAGGTGAGTAAGTGAGATGGGGCGCTGAGCTGTCCGCCTCTCGGGCGGCAGAAGAGCACCTCTAGCGCGACTCCGCGTGCCACTGAAACGCCTCCCGCGCGAAAGAAGGCGGAATTCACTTTCACACGCGACAGGTGCAAGTCTGTGGACAAGATCAGTCGCGGATCGACGGCGCTAATTGCAACTGACAGATATTCCTGCATATCTCGCGCCTCAATCGCTCCTCAGGACACTTGTTGCGACAATCAATCACGCGAGATCGATGCTGATTGTCACCTCAGCACCAGAACACCTCCAAAAGAGGCCTTCGCAGCGCAGAGAAGAAACTCTTTCCACGCCAGAGCAGTATCCGAAGCATCGGGAGATTCTCACAAATTTATAGACAAGCATCGTGAAGTGTATAAAATAATAAATTTATATTCATAAAAACCGTTTGGGAATAAAAATCGTTTTTATATCGGCAGGAAGATTTCTCGCGTGGATTTATTGAGAGTTGTTGGTGCTTCGCTCGCCTGACCATTTTGTTGGTTTTATACTCAATAATCTTGATTATTGTACTTTTTGAACATTTGCCTTTATCTCCAGTTCATATCAGCTGATTCCCCATTTTATACACCGAGTCTGCGAGTCTCTGTGTCTTTATTTTAATATCTCCACTCTCCCCACCACACTTCCAGTTCAAACAATGTGCCAAAACACAGTCGAGCCTCAAATTACAAGTTTGATCAACTTTGCCACATTCAAAATGCTTTTGCGCGTTCTTCTGCCACAACTATCGGCAAATACACGAGATTAGAATCATAAAATGTAGCTCTTTTTAGACACTGAAAAGGGTCCTGTATTATTCCTGCCATGTTTAACTGAAGAAACAGAAATGTCTTCACATCGAGGACTCTCTGTGCTCTTATCCGTTGCTCGTGAAAATGTGAGCGAATCGGAATATAATTCATGATTTCGTGGCCTTTTTGTTTTATCATCTCTCGACTCTCAGTATAATTCATATTTTACTCTCGCTCATATTTGTATATATGGAGGCATAAAAAGTCTAAACGTTCCTGCTGAACAGCCGTTTCTTCAGGTGGAACGCCCGTGTTTCACATGCGTGTGAATATGGAGGTGGATGTGCAGAGTGACGCGATGAGCCGGAGTGGAATTGATTCAATTGTGAAAATTGAAATGGTCCCGATGACATGAGGGCAGCCCAACCTCATCCGCGAGGTGGGAAAAGTGTGTGATAAACGATTCATGTGTGTGGATCTCGTCTGGCGTGCTCATTTGCATGAATTTTGGGAGTTGCTGAAAGAAGCTCCGCCGCCACCCCCTCGCGAGCGGACAAAAGGCACAAAAGACACGGGAATGAAAACAGTTAAAAATAAATTTGTCATATTTATATGGCGATGGAAGAGATGAGAGAGAAAATTATGAAAGAATTCTCGTGGAGTGAATTTATTGTCCAAGAATTATGTGAGTCGATAACACTCATTCATTCATTCTCCGCGATCCATTCATGCGACTTCTCTTTTTTCCTCCTTGTTTTTCCATACCAAAAACGCCACAAATGAGAAAAATGTTTAATTATTTCCGCTGTAAATGCCTAATTTATTAACATCGCGCCCGACACTCGCTCTTTGCCAAAATATATTAATATATTTCGGTGCTGGCAATGGAAAGATGATCCACACTCGCGCACGAGATGCCCGTGAAACGGTGTAAGGTATCAATTTGATGGAATTATCGGGAGAGGATTTGAATATGTTAGTCTCAATTGGCTCATTATCGGAACTCACATTGGTGATTAATGCGATCAAAACGGGCAACTTTCCGGATTTGCCTCGAATTACGGCCACGTGACGTCTGACTTCTGCGCTAGGATAGAATTTGGAGGCACTTTTGGAATTTCTCCTCGACACAATAATATCAATATCGAATTTCGGGCCCACTTTCTGGGTGCCGAAAAGCCCCAAGAAAGGCGGGAGGGAAGAAAAACACAAGTGAAGAAAAATAGCGGTTGGAGAGGCCCAAAAAGTGTCCAGACACAGAAATAAAATTTATTATTGTATGAGACAGGCTGGACTTTATAAATATTCAAAATTCCAATAAGAAGTAATAATAAGCAATAAAAGAAATATCCCCTGAAAAATTTCTTCGAAACCTCGCTTCTCTTCTTGCCCCATCGAAAGCAATGGCCAAAGAGAGATGAATAAATTCCCGAAAAATGCGATTAAGGCCGTGTCCCGGTGGCGGAGGGATGGAAAATGAGGGAAAGACAAAAAAGTTGCGCGTCTGTGTTGTAGTTTTTCTTTTATTTCAGCTCCTCTATCCTTGTATTCTTCCTTTTTTTCATCTGCGCATCCAATATTGTCTCTCTTCTCTCATGGGGAGAGATTCTCTATGGGCTCTGGAAGATTGGGACAAAAAGGCGACACTCTATGGAGGAGATTGTGATTGGAGTCTCTTGTGTTTTAATGTCATTAAAAATTAAATAGTTCTCCAACTTTAATCCCCTCACGAACGCGCGCGCACCAAATTAAATTTCACTCTGCGCGATCGTCATCGAGAGGAAGATTTATTAACTAACGTTGAAATTTTATTGTTATTGCTCGTGGCTCATAGAGTTACGAATAAAAATATGATTGATTGCCAGTCAGTGGTTGTTACTTTTTCGGGCATGTGAGGAGAGCACGAGGAGAGAGGCCAAAGGACACCCGCGACGCTAGTTTCAGCCAATTTGACAGGGACAGTGAATTAATTTTCCACATTTTGTCCAACCGCCAGCCAAGCTCGCCTAATAAATAAACCATAAGGCCTACTTTCCACTCTTCTCCGTCCAAAGTGCGCTCCGCCAAGGGGATCCCTTTTGGGGGTCCTTCCTCTCCGCTTTTTTTCCGCACACGTCGCCTTTGATTCCGCGGCGCCACGTTCCACAGATTTCTCGGGCACACTTCGAGAGGAATCCTCAATCTATCATCGCGCACGGATGAAAATTTAGCATCGGCGAACGAATGAAATATGGGAAATCTCTCACGAGATTATATCTCACTCAATTGGAATTCTTGGGCAAATTAGACATGCTGTTGATGATC